TTATTATTATTTACCAGATATTAATTTAATTACCCTCAATCATGAATAGGACCTTTTATGATGTTTATGAGCCTCTTGGTCTTAAATATTTCTCTGCTGGATGAGGCTCCTGTTTCAGTCTGTCAACGAGCAATAGGTCATCGCTGGCACTAGCCCATGCAAAATGCTTCAGAGGCAGTGACAGTCCCTGTAGTAAGCAGATGTGGGATAACGTGATGCTCCCAAAATGCTCAGTTTTCATTCCAAAACTGTTGATTTAAGCCCAGAAACAACCGTGGTGGGTTTGCTTGGTTTCCACGTGATTGTGTGGGATCGATTGCTGTTGTATCTTTAGCTCTGGCAGTGCTGGTCCTGTCCTCATCCAGTCGAGGTAACCCAAATCCTTGAACCCTTCTGGGTGTGTAGGGAGTTCAACCGATGTTCTTGGCACTGACCAGAGCTACGGCCCTTCTGCATGGTCTGTGTTGACATGAAATCATTTGGAGGATCTGGTTTCCCTGCCAAATGAATCTTCAGTTCTGCAGTTTCAGTGAGTGCTTGAGGGAGGAGAAGACAGGGAAGAGCATGGGTGGCAGTCCTCTGAGTTTGTAGCTCTGTCTTTCTCAGGAATACCTTCTGTGCCTCTCCAGTTTGAGAATTTCTTGCCAACATGACTCTCCATTTCATTTTTGTACCTTCCAAATTTCTTGATCTGAACAAGACCAAATTCTACCAGTTCCTGATGGTACATGTGAAAATATTTTGACAGCCTTGAGTTTACCCGTGCTCCTTTTCTTTGGGTGCCTATCTGCGTTTTATAAGGTTAGATATCTATAATTTCTGTACACTTTTAACAACTCCTCATGTGTATCTCTGCTCTTAAATATCAGTCTCGGTGTGTGCAGATTCCTGTCACTTCTTTGCTGTCCTTTGTCCCTCATTCTTCTCTTCCCTGTTTTCTTGACCCCTGCAGTTCTCTAATACCCTGTTCAGAAAGAATAAAGAATGCAAAGAGATCTTAGAGGCAGAAAAAGGATTTGAATGCTTGTCCTCATCCTTAATTGGAGTGTACCTGCTTCAGCGCTGTCTGCAAAAGTACCTTGAATAGGGAAAGCTGGAGTGTATTTTATAAAATGAAGTTTGCTTATAAAACAGTCTGATTATTTGGTCAGTTTTCAAAATTCTCTTCTTTCACATTGGCAAAAATAACGCCACTTGGAAATCATGAAGTTAATTGCATTTCAAATAGTCTCTGAGAGAATCAAGTCCTTGGCTTCAGCTGTGGTTTTCTAAGGCTTTTCTGTAGCATTTCCCTGTTTTCTAGCATGTTCTTTCCTGTTGTGTAAAGAATCAGCAGCGGAGCAAAGTAATACACAGCACTACTAGATGTGTCAGCTGATTAAGTGACAAATACCTGCCGAGAGTGATATAAGCTGTTGTCTTTAACAGAGCAAGTGCATGGTTTAAAAACTGAAATACATTTTTGAGTTGATATCCCAATTACAAGTTGATATCCCTTAGCTTAACAAGGTACCTCAGCTTTGGAAGTAGAATTGATCCTACTAATCATTAATAGGAAAAGAATTATCAAATGTAATCACCGAAGATATGTAAATGTCAGGGAATTTGAATGCCTAGTTAAAGTTTGATAAGATGGTTATAGGTGACTGTATTACCCAATTCTAGATGAAGTGGGTTTCATGAGAAGAGGCGATGTCGCGGGGCAGCGCGGGAGGGCAGTGGCTGTACGAAGGCGTCCGTCGATGTCCCTTCGCTGCCCTGGAGGGAACCCGTCTGTAAGCGACTCAAATCCAACCCAGCTTGACGTCATGGAGAATTGTTTCTATTTTCTTTTGTCTGGTGATTTTTATTTATTATTTTTTTTTCTGTCCTACAGTTTGCTCCTTTGTCTGGGGAGGAAAGGGGGTTCCATTGTGGAGCAGTTGTTTGTCGTCGTGGCGTGACTGTTAACAAGCTCTTCATTTTCTGGTGATGGGTGGAGGCCTTATCAACACCAAAATAGCCAATATATTTGTTATCCTTGGCGGAGTTTTAGCCAGTGAATAATTTTGATCTGTTTTTTATCATACATTTGCAGAGGTGCATACATTTGAAATTAGATTGTTGGATGAAATATCCCACATAAGAGAGAAGTTGTGGGAGGTGATTGTTTGCGCGGCAGGCACTCAGAGCGCAGGATCCTGCTCTTATTTCCCACACTCGTAGAAGTTGCATAACATACACGCATCTTTCGGGTCTGTGCACTCAGTCTTTCTCTCAGTCTTCTTTTTATATCTTTATTTATTTGTCTTTAAGGCCAAATAAGCATTTTCTTCCTTTTCTCAGAGTTTTACTGTAATTGTTGAGCGTTTCTCTATGTTAGCCAGGAGCCTCAAAGCAGATCACCAGTCTTGGCGCCAGGCGTGGGTGATGGTTCTGTTTGGATGTAGAGACCTTAAATAGTTTTTCCTCTGTGCTTTAAACATAAACAGGCTTTTCTCTAGCAGATACAGTATTCATCTTCCCAGTTTTGTTCTATTTTTGGTTTAACAGGCATGCCTGAAATATATGGGAAGAAACAAATCCTGGTTTCCTTTACTGAGTTGCTAGTGACCTGCTTCTGCTTTTAATGAAGGATCTTATTTTATAGATGGGTAGAAAGACTGCAGAAAATATTTGATGCCACCAGTTGTCATCCTGTTTTCTCAAGCAGTAGTTATTATAAGGGGAAAAAAAGAGATTGTATTTTACGATGCTGTTAATGGTTTTATGCCTTTTGAGTGAGAGAGGGCTGCTGGAGTTCCTTTGTCTGAAAACAGTTCCTTTGTGAAGCTGGGAAAGTGGCAGTGCTCTGATGGTGGAAATACTCTGATGATTGTGTGATGTGTTTTGAACTTTACTGTAGTGACTTCAGCTCCTGCTAATAGGACATCCATGCAGAAAGGCAGCAGCTATTCATAAGGAACCAAAGAAATTGCTGCTGCCCTGAGTGGTGTCAGTTTTAAATTGTGCCACTGTGGTGGAAATAACCTTTGGAAATGTGAGGAAAGCAGTGCTGGGGTTGAGTGGAGATGAAGCAGAATGTTGCTGGTACATCACTAGTGTCTTTTTGTGCTTGTGAATTGTGTTATCAGTGATTCTGAGTCTTAATTAAAAAGTATTTGAGTATTTGATGTAAAATCAAGAACAGAACACACACAACAAGGATGCTCGCTGAAACACCTGAGCTCACTCTGCATCTCTTCCAAAATGAAGATCTTTTATGTGGCACTCTTCCTTTCCCTAGCTGAGAATGACAAGAGTAGTTTAAGACTTTTTTTGTGTGTATGTTTCAGATTGTGCAGTGAACGTCCATAAGAACTGCAAGAGTTTACTGGCTGAATGCAGCAGCATCAGACCCAAGGTAGGCTTTAAAGTTTGTTCTTCTTTTATAATGACAGTGCTGGACATAGTGAGTTTAATTTAGTGCGAGTGTCTTAATTTACATCAGTACAGAATCTTGCCCTACATCTTTCAGACATCCAATAGTTATTAACTTGACATCATAGTAATTTATGACGATGTATGGAGGGAAAATGAAGTGGAATGTTTTATTGCCATACTGAAAATTACTTACCATTGCTTGTGTCTTGTCAGAGCTGTGACTAACCCTCCTAAGAACACTCAAACCCATCACTGTTTTGGGGAACACAGTTGAACTATATGGTACCTCTGTATTTTAACAGGTTGTGCCACCTCAAAGCTGATGGAAGAGTGTGAGGGACTGAGGGGAATTTGGTTATAACAGTTGCATATTATTTATCAGCTGAGCAACGCAGAAGAAGTTATTTCAGTTTTGAACTGTGATGAACTTTATATCTTGCTAAGCTGTTCATTTTTTATCTGTCACTGTGATTGCATGTAAGGTCACAGGTTGGTTTCAGATAGCTGTCCATCCGTCGGGGTTTTTTTTTATTCTGGTATTGGCTTTGAAAATAATTTCCTCTTCCTGATAATTAATTATACTTGAGGGAGTTTTAGTCTGTTTTAACCTGCAAGTGTTGATGATTTCAGGGACTGACAGCAGGTTAGGGAATAGTATGAGGATGGGAAAGAGAGCAGAACAGCTCAAATCTGGGCAATTAGAGGTTAGAGGAAGTGCTTTCAGCCATTGGTGATTTAGAATGTAACTCTTTTGAGAGCAAGAAATGTTCTTGTGGGGTTTTTTGTTATATACTTTTAAACTTCTCGAGGCATTGTGCATTCTGCTTTTAAACCCAAAAATTCACTGGCTCTGATGCTTTCATTTCCATTCTTCATCATCTCCCAAACTTCCATGGTTGAATCAGCCCTTACAAACCATTCCTGAAGAGAGCAAAGGGGGAGTGGTGGCACAAAATGATCTGGGGAATGAAGTCAGAAATGAGATCTTCAAAGTGAAATGAGACTCCCAAAAAGCCATTTGTTACAGACTGTATTACTGTTTAATTTCTTTGCATCTTAGATAAATTGTTTCTCAATGAATTGTAATATCCTGGTGTTGTAAGAATGAGGACGTTGTACAGATTGCCAATTTTAAATGGGCAGTCTAAATTTTGGTTGAAACTGGCTGGGTTTTAGTTAGTATTGCTGTAAATTAAATGGCAACAAAGTGTAGGTGAAGACTGTTGCATAAAGGGTTTGCTTTCATTTAATAAATTATTTATGCTCATAGCTTTAATTCAGCTGTAACTTCATTTTTTTGTTCTATTTCAGTCTGGTTTTTACTTGTTGGGATTTTTATACAATCTATATGATGACATTCTGGAATGTGAAAAAAACCTAAAACTTTTACCCTGTCCAATCTTTTATATTTCAGTATCCATCTTCACTTCCAGGTAGTGCTATATGGTAGGGAAAATATGATTTAGTTTGGACTGAAAGTTTGGTCTGTATGTGTAAGAATATTGCATTTTTTTTTCCTATAGCAGAAAGATTTGCAGCACAGACCTTCTGGATCTCCACAAAGTTCGCCCCAGTGCATTTCCCCAGGTTTGTACTAAAGAATGATTTCTGTGCTCAAGGCTTATCTGTTCGATTGTATTTTTTTCTTTAATATGTTTTAAAGGCTATACACAGTGTCTTATTGAAGTATAGAAAAGGTCTCTTTTAATAAGATGGCTTCATTTTTTTTTCTGTTGGGAATGGCTTAGAGGCTCCTAGCAATCTCCTGTGTGTTTTTATCTTTTTATCTTTTTATTTTTCTTTATCCCTACTTGCTGTGTAACCTCAAAATATCATGGTGAAAAGGGATCAATAAGCTGGTTTTTCATTGATTGTCTATTCTCTGGCCTCTGAAAAGACTAGAACTGTGAACTTTGTTTTACATCAGATTTTCATAATTGTCTATTTAAAACTTGCCTGCAGCTAGTGGTTGCTAGAAATCTCTAAGACAAGCTGGCACTAATGGTCTGAACATAAATCTTTTGTTGAAACAAAGTGAGAAAAGGGATTTGGGAGGAAAAAAAACCCAAAGAACAGCTGTATTGCAGCATATATTTTGAAATAGCTTTTTGCTACTGGAAAAGACCATCGTGCTCACAGGTGGATGATTTAAATGGCATTTTAATTTGTAGATATTATGAGGTCTGCGTTAACAGAACAGGCTTCTTGGCTCTCAGGTGATTGACTGTGAGTAGAGCAGGATTATTTCCGAACTTGCAGTTGGTGTGTTTGGTTTCTTTGATGTCTGTAGGAAACACAGTTGACATGAATGTCCAAGTAGCGCTGGGAGCATCGCGTACGTTTTTCTAGGGTATCATTTGACTTGCATTGCAGGATGTGCTTCTTTATGAAACACTCCTCACCAAGAGGCTACGCAAAGGGAATAATTGTTATAAGAAGATAAGTAGCTGTTTGTGTTACCAAGAATGGTTTTGTGCATTTAGGGGAAAGTGCAGAGGCTAAAATAGGAAACAATAAGGAATAATGAAAAAAGGGAAAGGCTGTGGCTGTAGGGCTTGTCGTTGAAACAGCTCTGTGGTACACAGTCTGGTCTGGTGTGATAGGGGAACAACGATCGATACGGGCTCTCAGCAGTGTGCAGACAGTGCTAATTGAACTCAGAAAATGGCTTTTTGTTGGTGCAGACTCTGCTAGGCAGCCAGTACTTATTTTTTCATAGCCAAAAGCAGAAGCTGGTAGTTAAAGGAACAGCTAATAGCATGGGCATTGTATGTCTTTACCCACAGGCTAACACTGCAGACTGCAGTGCCCAGCATAAAAAGCCAAAGGTGTTGGATCACCATTAAAGAGAAACACATTTTAAGAAAGGTACAAACTGTGTTGGTTGTGTCCCCCCCATCCCTCTCCCAACATTTTACCCCTGGAGACTTCTAGATTTGTCCTACCACTGTGAAACAGAACTTTATGTTCTTGGCTTGAGGAGCACAGAAAGAGAACTCGATGGCTGATGTTTTCAATACTTCCCCACAAGGAAATGAGAGGGCATTTGTGATTAAGCCTTTGCTTAAGAAATCTGCCTTTACAAATCTTGCTGATATCTACTTAGTCTCTTCTTTTGAGACAGTGGGCTTGGAGCTCATCACTTGGAGGTGATGGAGGAGGACTCAGTTCGCCCAGTTTGTTGTAGACTGAGCTGTGTGTGTAGCCAGGAGATTTCAAACCCAAACAGGTGTTGGGAAAGGTATTTCCAGGAGGAAAAGATGTAGTGATAACACTTCTGTTAAATGTCATTAATGAAATCTCCCCTGCAGCCCTAATATGATTCTAGTCAAGTGTTTTGAGGAAGATTAAATGGGAAACAAGCAGCTGTAGAGCATGGGATATCAAGAAATGTGGGAAAACCTGTTTTTTGAGAAGAAACATGAATACCTTGATTTATCTGTGCTTGGTTGAGCAAGGCAGAAGTGGAGGGAGAGTTGATTGTTAGTGAAGGTACACTGAGGAGCGCAGACTAAGAAAGGGGAGCTTCTGGGGATGGGTAGACACCAGTGTTTTTACGAGCAAAGTTGTAAATTGGTAATGCATAAACCTTGGTTGGGAACTGGAGATCATCTTGAACCTGCTACAAGAAGCAGCCTCTCAGACACAGCCCTGGAAGAGGAGTTCAATCTGGGTGTAAGACAAAATTTCCTTGAGAAGACAGAGTCCTGGGTTCAAGGATCCACGAGATCTCTTCCACTCCCACGTCCTTAAAAGCACTTTCCAAAAAGAGGCAGCTGCAGACCTTGTCAGTGACAAGTTTGAAAGATTGTCCTGCCTGATTCTTCATCTTTGACTTCCCTGAAGTTCCTTTTTCAAAAAGCTATATTTTGTCTCCTGTTCCTTATCATTCATTACAGACATTAGTGCTAAATAATTGTATCCATTTTTTATAAGTCTATTACAGGCTTCCATGTGTTGTGTAATAGTGATTAAAGCTTTAAATATCCTCCCAGTTCACAGTCTGTCTAGATTGAAAAAGCATTAAAAAAGCTGCAGTATTAAAATTAAATTTAGCTCTGGTATCTATTAGGTTCAGCGTGTGTGCATGCAGATATAAATCACTGTGTAGCAATAAGCATCGCAAAGAACTTGTGGTTTTTATGTGATCTCAGATTTTTTCTTGTTTGCCATGAAATGTTCTCTGCCCTTATACGGTAGGGTGTGAATAATTGTGTGTAGATTCTGTTGTTTTACTAAAGGAGAAGATACTTTGCAATTTCCACACTAAATGGGCACAGTAGGGACCAATTTCCTGCACTTCAGACCTGCTGATTTAGCCAATACAGTAAGTTAAGTGGCAGCTTTACATTTCTAGAAGGATCACAGGTAGTATAAAAACACTGCATCTCTGGGGCCACTTTACTGTGCCAAGTCTGAGGGCAGCCAGCAGCGAGCATGGGGAATACAAATTCAAAAAGCAGCGGCAGGAGCAACACGATCCCAGCTCATCCTGAGCTCTCTTTTTGTGGTTCCTTTTCAAGAAAATGGAATGAGAATGTTTTTTTGGACAACGAGCTCTTGACATCTAAGATCCTGTCTGTTCTCCGTCCTCATTCGGAGAGAGGTTTGAGAGCAGGAGATCTGCAGTGTCCGCCTCATTTTCTGAGCACCAATTCAATTTTTGCCTCTTTAGCCGCTTCTTTGAAGGAGCAGCCCCGCAGTCTTCTCCTGGGACCGGATGGCACCCCAGTACTGTCACGGAATCTCGGTATGACTATCACCCAAAGAGGAAATTCTCAGTCTTCATTGAATACTGCTGGAGCTGTTAATAAATTTGGGTAAGTAAACTGCTTCTCTCCTAATTCACTAGCTTCTGCTGCTCCCCCCCCACCCCTCTCATGTGAAAAGAAAACTGGTTACAGAACTAAAAGCAAGAACTCACCTTGGTTTTCAAGCTCAAAAGAGATTCGTTGAGCTTTTAAGGCTGAAATTCATTTTAAATACCCCCTAAACAGTAAGCTATTTTTTAAAAAATTTAAATCACCTTTATTTAGTCCCTCTGTACTACGTCGTGAAAGGTATCAGATAAAAGAGAGCAGTGTTTGAGTATCTCTGCCTAGATTATGGTTTTCATGGGTGTGTTTGTCTTCAGATTTGTTGATATTCAGTAATCTCTTCCCAGTTCAGTTATTCTGGCTTGTGCTAGTTCTGACTAGTGGAGGAGACAACAGTGCTTTACATTGCAGGATGCCTGGATTAAAATAGCAGACGAATTCAAAGCAATTCTGCTGTTTTAAGTAGTTGTTTACTTTTTATGTGCCACAGTTATGCTCCCTTCTCAGTGAAAGTGCCCTTTGTACTCTGAACTGGCTATGGCTTGTCACCAGGTGATGTCTTTTGAAAATGTCGTACCAGAAGTTACATACTTGCTCATGCTGCTTTAATAAAAGCTGTACTATTTCAGCAATGGAGTTGCTAAATTGATTTGACTGTTTAAAATTGTAGCGCAACGATAGTTTTTATATCTTTATTTTAAGGCACTATAGTTTAGGAAAGATGCTTGTTAAAATAGTTGGATTTTTTTTGTTTGTTTGTTTTGTCAAGCAACTTAAAAAAAAAAAAATGTTAATGCTCTGTTTTGGTCCCTTGGTCTAATTTCTTTGGCCATTTAGACTAATTTCAGGAGACATGGATGAAGGGGATTCAGGCTTTATAAAATTCAAGCAGACTTCAGATGATGTTGTCTCGCTTGCACCTTCAACAGCAGACTCCATTTTTCTGGAAGGTATGGAATTTCTGTGCTTTTCAGGATTTTTATGCAATTTCTTACCACGGTCTTAAAGCAGCACTGAGATGTTTTTGCTCTTGTTAATGATTGTAATGAGGGATATGGTGGGAAACAATTTAATAATAATTGAAATTGAATGTGCTTTTGGTTTAGATGCATATTCTGTATCCCTCCGAAGTGAAATAGAAACAGATGCTCATGAGTTTGAGGCAGAGTCTTGGAGTGTTGCTGTGGAACAGTCTTATGCAAAAAGGCAAAAGAAAGACGTTATGAAAAGGCAAGATGTCATTTATGGTAAGAGTATTTGTTATTCTTATAACTTTTTTCTATTTCATGGTGCCACTGTTTTGAAACAAAGCAGAAATCATTGTTTTTTGTTGGCTCCCACTTTTGAGTTGTGCTTGAAAACTAAAACTGAGTGAAGATTTTCAAGTCTGTTACTAGTCTTAGTGTCCCTAAGTCCTCCTGCTAATGATTTTAAGCAACCCTGGAGTTTTCAGTATGCCTATGTAAGCAGCAAAGCCTAAATATACAATTAGGGAATAGCTCAGCTGCAACTGGGAGACATTGTTAAATAAGTAGGGTCAGTCACTGTTTGGTTGGGAGATTAACAGGGTGAATTTGGGAGCTTCACATCTGTGATGCAAAGGTTGTGGTGAAGAAGAAGGTGGTGCAAAAGATGGCGGCCCTCAGAACCTGCTCTTTTATATCTCACTAGTCACTGCACAGCATATAAATGACTTTTGATTTTTGATTTTATTTTTTTTAATTTCTCCTTGCCCAGAACTAATGCAGACTGAAATGCACCATGTTAGGACACTGAAAATAATGCTGAAGGTCTACTCCAAAGCCATGAGAGAGGAACTGCAGTTCCCGAATGCAGTCATCAACAAGCTCTTCCCCTGTGTGGATGAGCTGCTGGAGATGCACGGGCAATTTCTGCTCCAATTAAAGGAGCGACGAAAGGAATCCTTGGAGGAAGGCAGTGACCGAAATTATATAATCCAGAACATTGGGGACCTCTTGGTAAAACAGGTGTGAATTAAATTCTGCCAGTGTTGTCGACTCTATTCAATTTCTAAAATTGGTTATATATAAAAAAAGGTTATAGTTATGTTATGTAAAGATTGATTTAATACTAGGTTTAAGATTATCTTCCCAGTTTAACGTGTGAGCCTGACTCCCAGGAATGCATCTGGTCACAAATAATATGAAATGTTCATTAAATGTTCTTTGGGCTTGTGTGTCTGCATGTTGTGGGGTATGTGACTGCAGATGGGTTGATTCTGTTTTTCATCTGTTCCAAAAATAAAAGAACACATTCCTAGTGTCCATCCCAAACATGGCTCTCTTGCATTTAATGCTGAGCTTCTTGTTCTGACCTTTTAAAAATGCAGTGAAGATCCTTTGAACTCATGACAGCTTTAGCACCCATTCTGGTATGGAGTGGATGCAACAATTTCTTCTATCATGACCATTTTTTGCCCTTCACCTTTTACAGTCCTCAGTCTTTTTAAGTGCAGAGGCCCAGAAATCCTTTTAAAAATGTCCATAATGTCAACTGTCATTTAATATTTGGTTATTTTGTGGTATTCCAAGCTCTCAGATGTCACGCTGCATAAACCTCTCACTTCTGACACAAACAGAATTGAAATAATATTGAAGAAATATCTCAGGAATCAGTTATCATAAAACCATGTTAAACCTGGGTGTTGCAGTAGAGGTGGGTTTACTCTTAAGGCTTCATGTTTTTCATTCTTATATTTTCAATTAGTTTTCAGGTGAAAATGGAGAGAGAATGAAGGAAAAATACAGTGTGTTCTGTTGTGGACACAATGAAGCTGTTAGTCACTATAAAGACCTGCTCCAAAGCAATAAGAAGTTCCAAAACTTAATAAAGGTAAACAACAACCAGAAATCTCCCATTCTGACTGTGTAAAATACACTTGACGACATTAGGTTTTATTTTGTACTTGAAGAGCTTTTAAATTTGAATGAGCAGGATTAGAGGCATATTCTCATTATTTGGTGGGTTGTTAGCTTCTTGTATTTTAGATCTTTTGAGCTGTTTGGACACAGAACCACAATGAGCAGGTGTTAAATTTGAAGCAGGCTCTTGAGAGCACATAGGACTGGGGGATAGAGCATTTGTTCCCTTCATGGCTCTATCACTGACTGCCCTGCTGCTTCACCACCCTTGTAAACTGGCTTGATAATAAATTAAATCAATTATAAATGCTGTTAATGAATTACTCTAGAAAAAGCAAGTATTCTTAGTCTAGTTTTGCCCATTATGTCATCTTTCCAAAACCAGAAGATTGGCTCCAGGGTGGTTTGTTTATCTGCCGTGCACTGTAATGTGCACTTAATAGGAAGGCTCAAGGAGACCAAAGTGGAAGCCTGTAACCTGAAGCTCAGATGGCATTGCACAGTCCTAAGTATTCTCATTTTCCAGTCATCAGCAAGTGATACTGTGTCAACTTTCCACCCTGGCTCTATCCATATAGCTCTTCTAAACTAGGTATCTTCAAAAGTGAGAACTCTTTACTTTCAAGGAACTAAATAAGTGACCAGAGTAAGTGTTTTAGATATATAACCTCAGTCCTTGTAAAGAAAGATCTTGGTACTGTGTTCTGCTGCCAGGATTGTTCTGTACCTACAGCGAGACTTAACTAGTGGGATTCTGGTGCTTTACAGTCTTCCCTTTCTAAACAGGAAGGTGTTTCTACTGGTGAATGTACAGCAGTAAAATAAACACCTTATTCATTATTGAGCTAATTTGGCTGTTAGATGGTTGGGTCTGGTTTTAAAAAAATATAATACTTTTCTGTTTAAGGACTGATCCTATTTTAAAAAGCAAATAGGCAGACAAACAGTTCAGATTTGGCACTTTCTCTGCTTGGTTTCCTGTTGAAAATAATCCCTAAAATAGTATTATAGTAATAAAAGTAATTTTTGATGTTATCAGTTTTGTTTGGTAAAAGAGTGCAGCTAATTTTGTGGTACTGTACCTAATTGTACAAGAATCTCTTGAGACAGAAAAGGTGGGAATGGAGAGGCGAGGCAGTTAGAAGAGTGATACAGACACAGCGGATGTGATGGGTCTGTCTTTGTTTTCTAGAAAATCGGCAACTGTTCCATTGTGAGGAGACTTGGTGTTCAGGAGTGTATCCTCCTGGTGACACAGCGCATCACCAAATACCCCGTCTTGGTGGAACGTATCATTCAGAATACAGAGGGTAGGTTGTTAAATCTTTCCTAGAAGCCTCACAGTTGTTGATCACAGTTAATCCTTTTTCTCCTGTGTTTTCCATCTTCTTTCCTCATACAAGGAGGGGACCCAGATCAGTCTCAACTCATCAGGGGGATCAGGAGCAGTGTTCACTTTCAAGTCTGCAACCACAAAACAGTAGTAGTTAAACCTGTCAGTTGATTAAAGATTTAGAGCTTTATGATATTTTATTTTATTTTTCAATTTAAGGTCTTAGGAAATACTGTTAGCTCTTCCGTAGGGAACCTTCATGTTAAAATATATTTGAGTAGCTCATATCTTGCATTCCAGAGTTGAAAATGTGACTGATTGCTCCTCTTTTCTCTTAGCTGGAACTAGAGATTATGAAGAGCTGACCCAGGCCCTTAGTTTAATTAAGGACACAATCACTCATGTAGATGCCATGGTAAATGAGTGTGAAAAGGAACAGCGCCTTAAAGAGATTATGCATAAAATGGAGCTAAAATCATCTGGGAAATGCAAGAATGGGCTTTTCTTCCGGAAGGATGACATGGGACGGAGGCGGCTTCTGCTGGATGGGATGCTGTACTGGAAAGCTGCATCAGGGCGACTCAAAGGTAAAGGACCAGGAAGGGGAAAAGCACAACTAGGAAGCAAGATTTTTATTTTATTTTATTTTATTTTATT